CCACGCCGCCCTACTCTGAGTCGGTCATTTGGATTGTCATGGAGGAGCCTATTGACGCACAAGAAGAACAGGTAGCATGTGTTGAAAACTTGTGTAAAACTTATTTTTATTAACTATTTGGGTTATATTTTAGATTTCCAAGTTCCGCGAGATGAACAAGAACGATGCAAGTGCCGAAGAAGTGGCCATTTGCAAAGAAAACTACCGTGAAGTTCAATCGCTGAACGCTCGAAACATTGCATATTTTGACTAAACCGTTAAGCCTCTAATACCTCAACGTCTCTTCCATGCTGAGTTTTGTTTAACTCGTGATGAAAGTCCTTTACAATTTGCATTAAAATGAGATTTAGGATCATAACTTTATACATAAAATCCTAGATTCAACATTAACAAAAGTTCAAAAAGAAAATACATTGCTCAGATTTTAAAACAAATCAGTTGTTCAGTTGAAAAAGTTTATTTTTATAATTTAGTACAAACATAGAGTACAAGTTTTAAACTATTGCCACAAAGAGAAACTTATAATCAAAATACCTATTTTTAGTGCATTTTCAAAATGCACGTAACCCAGATAATCACTGCAATAATACAACTTTTCCAATAACTTTTACAACGTTTCCCAAATATTTGTTTCTACATAATTGTTAATTCTAAAAAATTAATAAAACTTTTTAACTAGAATTGTGCATTTGTGGCGCCAGCCACAGCTGACGTTCACTCACGTTCAACCAACGTTGACCCAACGTACATTTGCACTCACACACACATCACATCTCACTCATGTCACACTCACACACATCACAGTTCACACTCTTGTCACCCCTCACACGACGGTATATAAGACCTACCGTACGTAGCACACAGACGACGAGAACAGTCAGTCTTCACATCACCAGACTCTGTTACACTGTTACTCCGTCCACCACTCTCTCTCCTTCTTGAAGTGCTTCCCGCTCCGGTGTTTGCGAAGCGAGATTTATTTTTGTACAATGTTTTTAAAACTTTTTTAGTTTTTAAAAACTTTTTTGTTAAAAATTTCTACTTTCCGTCCATTAAGTTGTTGAATCGGCCTAAAGTTGTTTCCTTCCAGAGTATTGTGCTGAATATCTTTCACCGCTCGAAAAGCTTCAATCTAAAAAGTTGTACAATGATAGCATTTGTATTTTTTTTCAACAAAACAACATACTTGATCTCTGCCAATGTGAGCCACTGCTTCAGCAATAATCCAAGTGANCCTTCTGTGCATGGCGGAGTTGTCAGTGAGCCATGGTACCGGTAAAAGTTAATGTTTTCACTTAGATCAGGCAACAAGTGGTTTAGAACAAAAGGATGCTCTAGGTGGGCAGTTTCGCTGCCGCCACTGGAAGCTACTTCGTTTACCATTTCAACAATGTTGTCCAGTTCTTTGACATTTTTCTCGTCAATCTAAAGTTAAAAACATAAAACTATATGAAGCACAACAAATACTAAGCATTTTACTTAAAAACAATTACCATGTAAAAAACTGCCACAACAGCTACGCCATTGTGAGCGTTTAGTGCATCATTGAAAGTTGGATATTTGTCTCGGTTATAATGCACCAAATGAATCTGCAAAACAAAGTTAATGTGTTTATAGACAAATTGTTTATTTTTCAACTTACTTCTAGTTCAAACGGCTTTCCGTTGATTCGATGCTCGGAACCAGCATTATCGGCCTGTCCCCAGTGAAAGTGCAATTGTGAAAGAGTTAACGTTTCTTCATATAAAGCAGTTCCAGTTATTTGGGGCGCCTCCGATGGTTCCCCAACGTAACTAAACTGAATTGCATGGCCTGTGTTAGACACATCAAACTGACTGATCAACTGGTTGTAGCCTAGAAAGTCAATTCGCAGACTGGCATTTGAGACGAAAACATCTGAAGTGATATCAATAGGAGACTGATTTGTTAAACCACATTCAGGGTAGCCAGTAGGCCAAATGTTTTCATCTGTTTTTAAATTTGGTTGTTTATTATTGCATTGAAAATGTTTTAAAGATACTGACTTTCATATGTCCAGTCATTTTGCACAGCTCCAGGTAAATGAGCGGATTTTGAAAATGCTAAAATTTATTAAAACAAAAGTTAACATATTTAACAAATTTTTAAAAAATAAACTAATTACTTATAAAACATAAAATATAAATTAAAAACAAAAATTTAAGCATTTTTTAATTTTTGAATTGTAATTAGATTAATTGTTTTAACTAACAACTAAAAAATTATTTTTTTACTGGACATTTATATTAACTCAACTCATATTTCATGGACGACCGGTGCAAAAACGTCAATTGGATCATAAAAACGCTAGTAGCACTTTGCTGATAACAAGTGGACCTTGATCATGAAATTTTTTGACGCCCAAAAATTTTTAAATTTTATACCCAAAATGTGCTTGTAATTTTATTTGACTACCTTTCATTCACACAATTTTTTTCTTATTAGTGCACTTGTTAATTTTATGTAATTTATTGTAATCTAATCTTTGTTAAATCTTTTTGTTATACAGCTTAAAAATTGCAGAAAAGTAATAAAGAATTTACAATTATGTATTTTAGAGATAATGTCATTGATATTGACATATTTGGAAATGCAATTAAACTATGTATATGTAGTGTTCCACTGCACGATGCAATGGCACTAACTCGATAGATTGGGCTGACTGGGCCGAGGCCGTTTATTAAGAGAGACAACGAGAGTAAAGTGACAAGTGACAAAGTCAGTGTGTAAAGCGTATGAGCTCGACGAGGCAGTCTCGGAGCGAAGTGGTCGAGACAACAAGTCGGCGCGAATGAGAGCGGACTGTTGTCGAGTTGAGCGACGAGTGTCGTGAAGATTGGTGCTGAGTGAAGAGTTGAAGTCGAGTGTTTTTCGGCTGGAGAAGCGATCTCCTTTTATACAAAAGTCGGAGTTTCTCTCTTCTTGAGCCACGATTCCCATTAGTTTTGTTTTTAGCTCTGAAACGACCTTTTCAGCAATAAAGGGTAATAAACGCGAGAAGAAAAGTAAAGATTTT